TTCAGCTGCTGCTTATGGACACTTTTTTCATAACTAATTTATGGATTTTTTTTTATCTAAACACCAAATTAGTAAGAAATGATTCACTCCTTGCTAAGAAGCCCAGATTTCACTCATGTGAATAGTTCCGAGAAATTGTATCTCCTCCTGGTACAATTAAACTAACTAGATTATGTTAGAGTAAATGTGGCTTGTTTACTTCAGATAACTTCAAAAAGGACAAAAAGAAAATTATTTGTACCACATACCTGTGGGTGTGTCTGCATTTTAAATGCACACTTACACAAATCCACAAAGGCACATATTTTCCACTTCTCTATTTACATAAACAGATAATGTGTGTGTACATGTATATATATTTTCATTGCAAAAGAAGGTTGAGTACTCATTACATGTGGGGCATAGTAATTTACTTAGAGACATCTTTTTCCTTCTTCAAACTGTAAGTCATTTACATGCATTTCAGTGTATTTCTTATATCTAATTAAATACAGCCAGGGGCTTCTTTTTTGCCTGGAAAATCCCTGTGGTGTCTGTGGCATTCCAGGGAGATTGAAAAGCCAGTTATGACACATACAAATGAAAAACACCAAACTGTAGAGAGCTCTCCAGCTTATCACACGAAGACATAAGAACTAAGGTTACAAGTTGAAAAATGACATCACTTTTGGGGATAGATAACATGGTTCCAAAAATCTCTTTGCCTCAAAAACATAAGTTCATGTAAAAAGTAATCCTCTAGCTATATCAGAAGCTATAGAGCTAGATTAAAGGCTATTCTAACAAAAGCAGACTAGACAAAACATGCAGCAATGTGTTCTAAGGGAAAGAAAACCTGTAACGAGGAGATACTTTATGATCCAATCTCACAACTGTGCTTTATCACAAGGAACATTCCTTGTACAGGAGCCACATTTAAACTGTTCCCATTTTATTGTTTTAATTACTTTAATTACTTCAATTATGAGGAACAGTTTTCAAAACACTTAAGGGATTTTGGAGCACAATTATCAATGATGCTGGTGTCCAAAATTCCTCCACGTGCCTAAGAAAATCTCCCTTTATCCTCCTGCTATTTCTAGGATCACAATTTATGTGAAATTATCCCCCTGTTATTTAGAACTTTTGCATCACTCAGAATGATTACATTCCTATCCTCTCCCAGGTGTGAGACACTGAACATTGAGAAGTACAGATTTTTGTGGAGCAGTAAGAAAAAAAATAGTTTTCTTGGTGTTTCTAAAATCCTAAGTACAAGAAATACAATAGAAATCAAAAAAACCTCACCAAAAACAAAACAAAACCTTTACCAAACTCCCTACCCCCAAGCCTGCAACATAGGAGACCTACAGAAATATTCTCATCTTTTGTTCATCAGTTGTTGCTTCCTTGTCCTAGCTATTGTACCTGTGAAAGAGAAATACAAAGCTCCCAGCTAGCAGAGATGTATGGGATGGTGTCTCTTTATGCCTCGCACCAAAGCCAAGCTGGACTCATTAGTCATGTGGAGATTTTGCCACAATGCCCAAAGGCACGAAATACCTCTGACAAAGCTCCAGCTGAGATATGTCAATGTGGCCCGCACTTTGCATCTCCCTTTTGGTGCCTTTCAAGTTGTTTTCCAAACACTTCTTTTGTTGTTGTTGGCATGAGTGCACTTAAAAGCAGCATATCGTTAAGTACAGAGAATGCTCACTGTTTTCTGGCCTTTAAAATCTATTCCAAGTGCTTCCCTGCGAGCAATTAAGCTAACTCTATGGGATACATTTGATAACAGATATTCTTTAGTTTGGGTGACAGTTAACAAGCAAGGCTGTAATGAATAATAAAGTACTTTTTAGTGATACACAGTCCCTATTCACCCTGAGTAAGGACTCTTTCTGTGCAAGTTCAACAGAAGACTCGAACAATGCAACCCTCTTGTGTGACTTGCACAAAATAGGCATTCATCAAGGAGGATTACTCTCCCCAAAACAGGGCTCTCAGCAGCTACGTGCTGTGGGTGGGGATGCACAATTCCAGACAGGGGTGGAGACCAAGGAAAAACCATGGCTCTAGCATGAAAATGCGTGCAGTGTCAATTCATATGCACGAAAGAGTGATGTGTAGAAAAAGCAGAAAACTGGGTGCAAAAGCTGTCCCAAGAACTGTTGTGGTGAGTAGCGCATGCTGCAAAGGACCACGGCAATACGGTAGGGTAACATTTTTCTAAGTATGGACTGTTCTGCAAAGTGTCCCCCCCTTACAGAGAGAAAAGCAGCACTCCAGCTTTCCAATGCCAGCCTCCACTAGACTGTTTCACTTTCTCTCAAACATCCTTACCCAAGTCCCACATAATCTGCAGCTGCATCATCACAGGCTTCTCAGTGACATGCCAGAATAATTTGCACGCTGATCTCCCACTTTTTGTCCATCTCCATGGTAGAGGTGGCTCCCTCAGAGCAATACAGGATGCTGTGTAGCTATGCTATGCATGCACTCGACATCCACCCCAAAAATGTCTAGGATTCCCTTCCAAATACTGAACTTCTGAAACATTAAGATATTATTATGCATCATTTTCTGATCATCCAAAGGCCTCTTAAAAAGCTATTCTGATACTCTGTGGAGGTTCTTTCTTCTCTCATATGGCTTGAGATACTCAGAGGGAATTAAAATTCAGTCTTTAAAATCATTTTAGCCTTTGTTCCTTATGCTGGAGATCCTTTTAGCTTCAGTATGGCTTCAAAACAGAGAAGCAAAGCAAAACAGGAAGACTACCTTGTTATACCAAAGGTCAAGAAACACCTAAAGAGCAAGACAGTACAATCTACTGCTGTCACATATCCAGGTCTTAGAGTCATCACCTTTTTTTTACAAGGAAGAATTGGTGGGAACAGGATCCTCTTGCTGTGAGATGGTGAAAAATAAAAGTGGGAGGAAATGCTTTCTCTCTTGGAAAACTTTTCTCTACCTCAAAGCACTTTCACAGGTTAAGGAGTATCTGCTTTTACTTTGATTGATGGTACTCTAAGTACATTTACATGTCTGCTCCCAGAAGACCATGGACTTTTCCTTGAGTAGAACACTTTCTACTTCTATTTAAAGGAGGACAGAGGATTTAAGGTGGAGGGAAAAGAGGCTAAATTCTCCCAAGAGACTAGCAACTTTAATGCCCACTTGAAAGTCAATAAAGGTGTTTTTCAAACTTCTGAAAACCAGGCTACTAACAAGAATCTCAAAACTTTCAAAGAAACCAAAAAAAAAAGAACTTTTTAAGAGTTTTGACCATGATTAACATTTTCAAACTGGTGATCATGGAATAAAAACATATTTCTAAAACCAAAAAGAAAAGTAAGTTCTTTCATTATAGGGTGTACATATTTTATAGAGCATAGCTAAGCATAAAATCATACACTTTCAAAGGCACTATCTATGAAAAAGTCTTGTTAAGTGAGAATATTGCAAAGATCATACACACTTAATAGTGCTCTTAAAATATTAACTGTGTTTGTGGCTTGAATCAAGGGAAGAATTAGATATAATTGAAATAGCATTTTAGAATGAGTTATTCTTTTTATATCAACCTATGTTAACTGCCTAGAAAAAGCTTTTGGACAAATTTTGCTTCTCCAAAGGGTTTACTCCATCCTCTTTGTTTTCAGCCTTTCCTTCTGTTTCTCTTTAAACTGCAGGGAGGACAATTGAAAAAGTTGCTCTGTTAAAAGTTGCTCTCAACAGAGTAACTTTTTTTTAAAAGACTGTACCCAAGTTTAGAAACAAACACTGCCGTCTAAAACTGAAGAATTGGGGATGGAGAAACAGATACGGAGAAAAAAAGGTTGCAGCAAGTGCTGCAGAGTATACACAGCAGAATTTCAGCAGGGTATTACCCACGCTGAGAGTGCAGTGTAATAACTTATAGCACTTGGCATAGGCAATATTCGTATGTTAAATAAGAATTTCGGGAAAAAAAAAAAAGATTAGGAGTCTGTAACAGGAGGCACTTGCTATGATCCATTCCCTTTTTTATGTCAGCTGTAATTTATTGTGTGCTGACAATGAATAAAATCTGTGGAAGAATTGGATTGTGTATGGATCAATCCATTGTAAAGAATCTTGAAAATTTGGGTGCTAGGGAAAATGCCTTGCAGTGCGATTTTTAAAGAAGAGCTTCTTCTATGTATTTTATGCAATAGAAAACTGAAATTGTCTTGATTACAGCACATAAATGACTACAGGACAGAGATGGGGAGTAGGCTTTTTAATTTAGTAAAGAAATTACATGGTTAGAAGCCTAGACAAGTCAACATTGGAAAGAAGAAATAGCAAAGACTCTTCATTTCCACTGACTACCATGAGAAAAGATGGATTCCCCATCTCTGGATATCTTTAAAAGAGGTTTGGATGCCTTTCTACAAGGGACAGAATTTATGTATTAGCCAAACACAAGGCTTGGGTTTCTTCCACAGCTTCACAGGAGGTGAATCTTCTTAAACGTACGGCTCCACCAGGCCTTATGTTCTGTGACCCAAACAGCTCCAGCACTAGAGGACTAGAATAGGGCTTTTATTATTAGAGTTTTATTTAGACTGAGGTTTTCTGAAAAATGATCTTCATTTTGAAATATGGAGAAAACAAACAAACATGAGGAAAATCATTGGTTTGAACTTAAATAAGACAAATATTTGCCTGCACTTTATGTAGCAAACTAATAGAAAAAAAAAAGGAAATATTTATATTAAAAGCTCCCCCTTTCTAAAAAAAGGTTCAATTCTTTGTGATTGCAAAAAATAAATACTAGGAAGAATATTAAGCATTTTGTTTTCTTGTGATGAAAAGATTAGTAAGTTAGTAAGATTCCATATTCTTAAAACTCTCAAAACTTAAGGAGTAGCTTCAAAGATCAGCCAGCAGTAGCCCGATGAAGAAAAAGAAAACTCAACTGTACTAGACGACTCAGCTCTTGAACTGCCTCCTGAAAAGTTATCACTTAGGCTGTAAGGCCAACAAGTTGTCACCCTGGGGCGCTGGGCCTCCCTGTCCTCCCGGTGACCAGCTGGACGTGCTGCCCCTCTCCCCGAGCTTCCCCACGGAAGCTCCTGTCCTCGGAGCTCCGAGGAGAAGGAGGAGGAGGGTCCGTGTCCCTTCCCCTCAGTTTCCACCTGGCCAGCCCAGCGCTTACTCCTGAAGTCCTTTTTAAGGACGAGATCAAAGTGCATCCAGGTGAGGAGAACACAACTGACCGGAGCCATGGGATGCTGGTGGCATCGAGCCCTTACGCGGGGTTGGAAAGAGGGGCAACCCAGCAGCTCAGGAACGATAAAGCTCAGTTAATCGTTAATTGCACAAATAAGGTACAGCACCAGGAGGGAGGGAAGGAGGGAAAGGAGCTGCACCTTGCTGGTAGAGCCTCAGCAGTCCTCCACCCTCCTCTGCACTCGCTCGCTCAGGGGCCCCGCAAGAAAGAGCACCCAAGGAGATAAAAAAAAGGCAGTTGCAACTTCTGGACGAAGAGGAAGGAAACCTGACACCTGGGACGAACCCAGCGTGGACGTTTGGAGGGAAGGTTGGCAGGGAGAGGCCCGGGAAGGAGCCGGCGCTCCGAGCGGAGAAGAGCAGCGCACAAAGCACTGACGGGCGAGGGAAGGCGCGGGGCG